TTTAGGAGTTTCCCTTGCAATAACATCTAAACCTACTTTTTTTCATGTTCTACAACGGTCCTTTCTTGACCTAAGACTATTAAAACGGGTAAAAACAAAAGGGGTCACTCAACTGGCTCTTGTTGGAATCATAAAGAGGCTTTTTATGTATTTTGCATACTTCATCTTAAAACAAAAGACTCAAAATTATTGGAGTCACAATTGAGGTCAAAAGAGACAAATATTCAAATAAAGTACAGTTTTTTAAGGAAAATTGTCGGGGTTGCAATCAAGTTTCGGTACAAAGAGCTTGAAGAAACAACAAATGATTTTCAAGCACTTCTAGGAAGAGGATCATTTACTTGGTTTTCAAAGGCGTTCTCAACTATGATACTTTAGTAGTTGTATAGGTGCCTTATGAATGGGTGAATTGGAAAGGAGAGAAAAAAAAAGAGAAAGAAAAAGAAAAAGTGAAGGAGATCCGGTCAAAAATATGTGGAAGATGACGAATAGTATCTACACAATACACATGATAAAAAAACAACAAATATTTTTAACAAAGTTAATGTTTTAAATGGAAAATGACATCTTGAAATATTTTTACAAGTTAAAAGATTAAAATAAACTAAAAATATTAGAGGATAAAATAAAATTTTATCTTAAAATTGAAGTATGAAAATAATAATTTTACAAATAAAAAAGTATAATTTTTGTAGTATTTTATAATGTTATATATTGTATTAATTTATTGAAAAGAATTTGAAGAATAGGTGCTGTGATGTAAGGCTGTTACATTTAGAACACTGCTATTTGGTACCAAAAATATGAGTGCAAATTTTAAGAAAGAAAGGATAACTAATAATGTAGGATGGTTGAATGTAATTAATAAATACTATGTTCCCATTCCTAACATTTTGTGTTTAATTTTTTTTTTTTTTGGGTACCAAAAAGTATTTTTCTTACATTTATACGTGTAGATTTATCTATTTGTTTCGTAAAAAAAAAATTTGTATTTGAATTTGACTGCATATAAATTTTTTCAGATGATCTTAGAAAAAAAAAATGCCTCAAAGGCTGAAAAACATTTATAGAGTGTAGATTTTGGTTATAGCATATTTCACAGCGAGAATTGAATTTGATCTGTTATTTTGTGAAAAATCAATCCCCATTTTATTATACCCTATTGACTTTGGTATACAAAATCAGAATATGCAAGTTGAAAAATGAAACAGCAGCAAATATAAATAGATAATAAAATTATACAGATAATGAGAAAGAGTGGTTACTGTGAGTGATGTGGACAGGCAAAAGAAAAGGGTAAGACGATAATCAGAAGGCAAAATCAAAAACAGTGTTAAAATGAAATCCGAAGCACAAACATGTGTTGTCATGGGCAAACACATTCCTTTGCTACGAGATAATGATTTCACGTGGGTAATGTAGTTGAAAAACTACACTTTGGATTCAAGTTCCACTCAAACCAAGTTCAGTCAAAGATTCTCTATTTAATTACATTGTCAGTTGCCACCTTTTGCAACTGAAACTTCACAGTGGAGTGTGTTATAGTTTATTGTCAAATCCGAACTGTCCTTCGAAATGTATGGTTCCCGCAAATAACAATGATAATGGGTCAAATTTATTACAAGTACCCCTATTATTCTCAAGTGGTTGATTACTTGATTTACGTGTTTATTCTTCTTCGTACCCCTATAATTGATGGTAACTATTGGAATGGATATCTTAAAGTAGAATTTATTATTATATGTTATTAAAAAATTAAAACGGTAAAAAAATTTACTTGAAATTTGACATGAGAGTGTCGAAAGAACAAATTACAATTATAATCCAAAAAAATTCTTATTTTATTTTATTTATGGTTGTTTTCTCTTGATCATTTTTTAGTGGGTCTGGTTTTTTGTTAGCATAAATTTCCAAACATGCATAAATGGATTTAGCTTGTCACCATTTGCTTACAAATAAATGTGTGTTAGACTCTCATTTTAACAGAATATCAAACACACATTTCATAATTTCATCTATGTCATAAACTCTTCTCCTTGTTTTATGTTATATCTCTTTGCTTATTTTTTTCATCATTCTCTTGATTTTTTCCCTTCTCCTCTGACTCATGTTCATGATATTGATCTTTAAGGATATGTGTTGTCGGTCGATGTATATTGTTCTCTGTTCATTGAGTGGATTCAGCACTGGCAACCGTTGCTCTAAACTGGATCATCAAATTACTATATCAACAAGTTCAAGCCACTGGAAATTATTCAAGCAGTGAATATCATCTCAAATTTTGAACTTTTACCATCGGTTTTATAATTCAAGTAAAATTTTTAATAATATTACATCTAGACCTTAAATCATTATTGCTTTTTGCAAGGACAAATATTAGGGTCAGAGTGGACCCCTCTCAAAATATTTTATAAAGGGTTGCCTATAAAACTTTTGCTGTGCAAAATAATCTCAGAAAATATGTTGAAAGAAACTTTGTGTCCGTTTAATTTAAAATTAAGTAAAATTAATCAGAAAGGATTAATTCTTTTAAGATATCGATACATATAAATTAATTCAAACCACACATTTTTATTATAACGTATATTTTGCATCGAAGGTAGTTTTTTTCTATAATCTATTTATCTCCTAAATTTGTATTTACTTAATTAAAAATATCTGTAAAGGACAAAAAGCTATAAAATCATCAGGCAAAGTTTAGAGTATTAAATACTATATATAAACAATTTTAAAAAATCACTAAAATAATTAAATATCAATAAAACTACTTTCTTAAAAAAAAAAAAAAACATGTAAAGATAGCATAGAGTTTGAAATGAACTATAAAATAGCATGAATTTCATACATCACAGGTTAATTAAAAAAATCAAAAGTAATTTAAGTGGGATAAAATTATTATAGATATCAATTTTTTTTAAAAAATATTTAATACAATTAAATTTATTGAGACTCTAACTTAAAATCACACAATAAACTAAAATAATTTCAGTAAGTCGATTACATGATTTCATTTATTCCTTATATATAAGTAATCTATTTCTAACTTAAAATAGAGATGTTCACAGTTTGTGACCCACGTTTTAATACACGTTAAATAATAATAACGATAATGGTTTAGCATAATCAGTTAATTCGGCTAGATATACAGACAATCATAATCGCCTACTAAATTTTTTAATGGTTTTTAAAATCCAAATCTCTGTTAATCGACGCCATTATATTGCTGTTTTTACTCACAAAAAGGGCACTATTATTATTATTATTATTGTTATTATTATTATTATTATTATATATCCTGGCTACTTTCTTTTCCGATTTAAAAATAAAATAAATAAATTAAAATCGATAAGCAATATACCTAACCATATTCGGGGAAATATATATATATATATATATATATATATATATTGACAAGCCAAGATTTAGGGAAATCATCGGATCCAAGAGGGCCATTGAGTCAGCCATATAATTAAGCAATGAGCAACTGAACACAGTAAAAAAAGAATAAATTTAGTTAAATTTTGTAAGATTTTGAGTTTCATTTAATAATTGAATTTAAGGTTTGAAGTTGTTTATTATTTATTTTATATGGATTATTTTTAAAGTTTTAGTCTAATTTTTTTAAAAGTTTGGAAAAAGAAAAAGAAAACAATTGAGCCAGGGTTAGTTATAAATATGTAAATATTAAATAATTAATGGCCGGAAAGTTTCGTTCATTAAAATAATTGTAAATGAAAGAAATTTGTCACTAAAATAAAAAAAATAAAAATGATAAACATATGTAAGGGAATGTGAATCCTTTTTGGTTAGATAGTACGGTGGTGTTCAAGAAATTAAGATATTTTATTAAAAATGTAACTGAGTAAATCTTGCAATCAATAATGAAAAAGTCATTGCATGATACTTTTTTTTTTCTTTTTTTTAGTTTCATATCTTATTTTTTTAACTATATTCAAACCTATGTCAAGTACGTTAATAAAATTAATCGAGGAAAGAAATTAATAATATCATTAATGCAGTTAAATTCTATGGTATACACTTAAAAATTTAGAGGAATGCTGGCAATAATATATTCTTAATTATTAATTAAAATTTATTAAAAATTATGAGTTTTATTTTTTAAAATTTAATATTTTTTATATTTTTATAATTTTTAAGGTTGGTCAATAATTAAAAATGTGTGTTAAAAAGAGTGCAATATGTTGTTAGCATTCTTTTTAAGTTGTGCTATTAAAGGTTTTTTTTTCCTCTAATTATTAGAAAGGTGAATAAAAGTGTTGAGAGCATAACACAAGTGAAAAGTATATCTCTTGGATGATGAAATTTCGTGCATCCGTAAATTTAGTAGTTGATATTATAAAAAAGAAAATAGTTCTTAATTCCTACATTAAATGATTTATTCCTAAAAAAGTCGATATGATAAATTGGTTTTTTTTTTTAAATAAACTGAATCAAATGTACTGGTGTTTTTTTTTGTATGAAACTCTATAAGATTTTTTTAATGAACAATATGATAGGAATAATTAATTTATAGATAATGTAAATTATTTTGACCTTTCTTTTCTTTAAATCATTCAGCTTTTGCAGGGTTACTAAGGAAGTAGAGTAAGTGTTTGAAAACATGTTAAAAAACTTATCAATAAAAATTTAATAAAAAACGTATGATTAATAGCATTGAAATAAGTGTAGATGCAAATTCATTTTACAGTGAATATAAAGATGCCAAAGGTTATCCGAATATGCATCCTATAGACCTTGCTTTATTAAAAATAATTAATAAAATAAAAATAAATCAAACTATTCATACTTTCAAAAACCTCGTCAATAAGAAAACACACCCATTATTAATTATTATTATTATTTTGGCTGTCATAGCCATTATTTTACATATAACTTCTAAGTTATTTTTAATACATCACATTACAGTAATTCCATGGATGCCCTGATACAGAACACAATTTCCTTTAGTTGCATTATACAACTGCATTCTTCTTCTTCACTCAATCATTATACTGGGTAGTACTTGGCCTTGGCTCAAAATCATTATACTTGGTAGTACTTGGCCTTGGTTCAAAGTCATTATATTTGGTAGTACTTGACCTTGGTTCAAAATCATTATACTTGGTAGTACTTGGCCTTGGTTCAAAGTCATTATACTTGGAAACACTTGATCTTGGTTCAAAATCATTATACTTGGTAGTACTTGGCCTTGGTTCAAAGTCATTATACTTGGAAACACTTGATCTTGGTTCAAAATCATTGTACTTGGTAGTACTTGGCCTTGGTTTAAAGTCATTGTACTTGGTAGTACTTGGCCTTGGTTCAAAGTCATCGTAGTTAGTAACACTTGGCCTTGGTTCGAACTCACTGTTTGCTTGTGGCTCCTCATTTTTATATCCAAGCTTGGTATCAACATTTTCTGTGAACCCTTTTTCTTCTATGGTAATTTGCGTGTTTGTAACAAGAGGCTCCTCACATTTTAGCTTAGAACCTTCAACAAGTTGCTCTGGAGTCATCTTGGGCTTATTTTCAGATGTCAATTGGAGAAGGCCTTGAATTCCTTGTGGCATTTCCTCATCTTTCATGACCATTTTCCAATATTTCTCTGGATCTTTCCTTGATTCTGCAGTAGCAGCAAACTTCTCCACAAAAATTATGCGGAGAGAAGAAATTAAGAACTAGTTAGGCAACATTTTCAACCCATTTGACGAAGAATCATGATTTTTAAATTAGCATATTTAGTTTAACTTAATTAAAAAAAACAATTGCTTTTTTTTAAAAAAAAAAAATACATCGTTAACAAAAAAACTTACCTAATAATCATTAAGGAAAATATGTGAGTGAGAGATAAATGGTTAATAATGTTTGAGCGTAACAATTAGTGTCATAAAAATGAAGTGTGGTATGCAAATATTGAAGTACAATTCCATGTTTCATACATGTATTGATCATTTAGAAGTAGGGAAGAAAATACCAAAAATGCTGCCTTTTTCTCATATTTTGTCAAACTTATTTAAATTCATCCACTCCAAATTACTTGAGTATCGAGCGATGTTATTATAACCGATTCATTGAATCCTAATTATTATTGTTTGGATAGATAAGGTAATAAACATATTAATGTTAAAACAGGGGCAATTAATAGAAATTGTAAAAGTACGAAAGGTAAACGTACCAAGAAAACAAATAGAAGGGGAAGAAAAGCAAGAGCAGGCCTCATTTTCAATGTTTTTGGTTTGTATGAAAGTACTAAATTGTGGGTGTATGATGAAAGCACGCTTACTATTTATAGCGGGAAAATCTACATAAGACAGCATAACTATATATTAATGTACAATGGTTGGAAAATTATTGAAACCACAGATAATTGATCCACACCGGGGTTATAAAAATAGGATTTTTCTCTTCTATAATTAAAACGTGTGTTATAAACTTACCCAATACAGTTTCAGTGCCTTACTTTTTGCTTTTCTTCTCTTTAGACAATGCTGCTATTATTAGTAGGCCCTTCAATATTTTAGTTATTTGTGTTCCCTATATAATATTGTGTACAGAACATATTTAGACAAAAACGATAACCCAGATAGATAAATATAGCATTAGTCTTTTGTGATTCTTGAATAGAAATGTACATGAATATGTTTAATCTGTGCACTTAACCAGTTGAAATATAAAATTGCTTTGATTTTTTCTTTTTCAAAATCTAACAATATCAAAACAGTTTCGGGATTTGTCATGATATCTATGGGTAAATTAATGTTTGTCAAAATAATCTCATACCAATTTTCCCACCCATAGCACAAAACTGGTACCTTTATTCAAATATGAATTTTCCAATTTAAAAGATACTGATTTCCAATTGCTTACCCATATTAAAGTCAGTGAAATTAAACATTGTATTATATAATTAAACAGTATTTTTAAGTTTATTAACTTATGTATCCTTGATCCTCCATATTGAAGGTTGTACAGTGAGAGACTATAAACATATATTGATGAAAAAAAAAAAAGAAATTGGAAGGAATGGGTATCCACGAAGTGGGAATAATATTCAATTGTTATTTTTTTGTATTTTTTATTTTAAAGATTCTTTATTTTCTATTTTAAGTTAAAGAAAATTTATTGTTATAAAAGATGTTAATTTTGTTAAAATATGTTATATTTATTATTATTATTATTATTATTATTATTATATTTTAATTTGTGATCATTAAATTGCTTGCTTGATTTAAAGTCGTTATGACATTATTTTTTTAAAATAAATTATTATTTTTCCTTCACTATAAAATAAATAGCAACATAATAGCATAAAAAAAATCAAAAAATAAATAGCAACATAAGTATTTAAAATACTAATAAAAAATCTCTCTTTCACATTTTTCCTCTTCGACTTTTAACTTTGTTTTCTTATACTCATTTTTTATTGAATAATTGTTTGTAAGGCTTCATTGTGCTTCTAGCATTGAGTGCAAAGTCTAAGCATACAATTGTACACTAATCTTATAAAATAAATTGAGTATTAGATTATATTAAAGTTCTGTAAAAATTTACTTTCAAAATAATGACAATGACCATGTTACAACCTCTCACTTTTCTATTTCTCAACAATCCAATTACTTGTATCTTAGAAAAATTTAAAATTTCTTGTTTTCTCATTGACTAATATAATCATCTACCTAATTGCCTTAATATATTTGGATGTTGAATGATGAAATTTTAAAAATTGTTTGTTCTACGCATACAAGTTGTAGTTAAAGGAAATAAATTGACATTAATTATGAATTTGTTGTTTGTACTTATGTCAGACATACCAAATCTTAACGTATATCACAAAATTTTTAATTTCATAAATTTATTCTATCCCCTGCTAACCCTTAATTTTGGAGGAAAGAAAAAAAAAGAGTATTAAATGAAAATGTGTAATTCAAAAATGTACTATCATTTAATTTGTTTATAATTCATTAATACGATATTTTGGTATTTTAACACTTGTACTTCAAGATTATATCTCTACCTTAAATATTTTTATTTTTTTAATGCATAAGCTTGTATTTCTTTTTTTATTTTTTTAATGTCACGGACTTTTTAATTTAACCTTTTTTTTTATTATTTTAGACCTTTATTTTATTTTGTTTTTAGACATCAATATTATATTATGATTTTGGATGTACAAGTTTAATCTAAGATTGAGGGAAATTCTTTGATATATGGACTTTTTTTATATGGGTTTTGCTTTTGAAATTACAGAAATATGAAATTTTTGATAAAAATATAAAAATATACTTTAAAAAAAAATTATTATTAGCTATTTTTGGCCAAAAATTATCAATCGTGATTATTAATTATATTTTATTTTTTTAAATATTTTATTATTGCTTTAAAAATTTTTAGAGGCAATTTTTAGTTTTTTTTGAATTTTTTAATAAATAAAATTTACGATACCTTTTATAATTGAAAGAATTTAGTAATTTTTCTATCGTTAATTTTAAATTAATAAATAATAAAATTAATTAAAAAATATTAATATTTTTTTATTTTTAAGATATTAAAGAAATATGTTAATCTGAATATAGAGTTTACAGATGTCATATAAACACCTTTCTAATAATTGTACTACATGATTGGGGCAAATTCTGTGTTACATGATTGTATCATAGGCTGCTTTTGCTGGTTTTGTTTTTAATTATCAATTGAAAAAAAAACGATTAAAATATATATTCTATAGGAGAAAAAGCAAACTATATCTATTTCTATATTTGTGTAGATAACCAGACAAGATTTGATGAACCCTCGTATCAAAGTGGGTCATTCATTTAACAGATAAAGCAAAGAGCTTTATGACAAAAAGTGATTACATATAATGGCGAATTTCCATATACACTACTTCAAATTTGGTATATCATACACTTATAATTAATAATAACAGATTATAAATATTTTTTATTATTTATAATAATTGTTTAGAGTTGTTAAGTTTATCATTTAATTATTGTTTATCACAAATTAATTCTTTACATAAAAATTTAAAGGAAAGTTAAACTTAACCTGTTAATTTCAAATCATTAGTGTTTTATTTTTATCAAGCATTTTAAATTGATTCTTTTTATTTGTAGTATTCATTTATTGATATATCACTTCTTTACTTAAACATTAAAATAATTTTTTTAAAATTAAAGTATCATTTTTTTAGTAACAACAAATAATATTGTTTTATTAATATAATAAATTATGATAAATAATCAAGAATTAATGGGAGCAGTTATGTAAATGAAATGACGTGATAACACTTTATCATAATTTATATTTATAGATAAATTGTTAACGTCTAAACCATTTTCAACGTTTCCACTTACTATTGTTTATAATATAGGCTTGTACTATGCTCCTGCTAGCCAAATGCCTTCGATATTTTGCACAAATGGATATGAACTTGTTGGCTCAAAACCGATCAACAACGTTGAATCTGCCATGCCTTCAATTTAGAATTTAGTATCAACATTTTAAGATAATCAATGTCGAATGTTAGAAAAGAAAAACTAATTTCGTAGCTTAAAATTGCGATATTTAAATAAAAAAAGTTAAAGCATTATTACTTTAAGTAATGACACTTTTTTTCAGTGCTTTATTGTATTCTCTACTACGTTTCTAGTTATTTTGATTTGATTAACATTGCTCTAGATTTCTAAGAGTATTTGGCATGGTGGCGGGGAGTGAGAGAGAACAGCGTTAACAAGAGCAGAAGTGTAGATTGCTAAGCTCAAGGTTGTGCTTGAAGAAGAACTTTGAAACAAGATGAAGTAATTGTTAAATAAATAAAAAGATAATAATGAGTTAATAATTACCGACACTCGTTTATTATTGTTTTTTTTAAACTTTGTTAAATAATAATACTAATAATAATGACACTTATTTTTTTATTATTATCTTTTTAAGTGTTGTTACTCGCAGTTACGAAACTAGTTTTGTATTTTTTTTTTATTGATACCTAACAGCTACTTCTCACATGAATTTTGATTTACGACTTGTTTAAAAGAACTTAAAAATATTTTATAAAAAATAACTTTTGACACTCAAAAGCTATTTTTTATTTATTTCTATAAGCTTCTCAGGATATGTTATGAAAATAAGCTGTTTATACTATAAGCCATCAACAATTTTTTATTAATTAAATAAGTAATCAATAAGTTGTGTATTTAAACATGCTCTTGGGTAGGAATATTTTATAAAAAAATTATTGTTTAAACATTAAATTATATCAATATGATGTGCAATTATTTTAATTTTAATTTTTTTTATGCATTCATAATAATAAAAAAAAAAGTCCAAAAAGAGTACTTTTTGTTCTCTTACCTTGAAGTTCATGCATTTTCCTAGTCTAAATTTACATCTGTATGGTATTTTCTGTCGTTTTTTCCCCCTACTGTCAGTGTTAGCAGCACAGCAATTCGGATGAGAATAACCTTTTTAACTCTTTTGTGGTCTAGTGGGCGAACATAATCGAACACTAATTTGAACTTTCGAGGCTCATTTTTGGTCCAAAGTTTGAACTTTCTGGTTGAAGAATCCAACTCATCAAAAAAGTGAATCCAATTGGAGAATTTAACTAAGAATAAGAAACCGTGAAGCCCAATAGGTTGGGCTTGGATCCAGACAAAAATGGTCTGATTCAACTACTTTGTTCTGACTAAAACAACTTGTAAAATTAAAAAAGAAACTGTGTCATCTTAGCTTTAAGATATCCTGCAAGTACACAAACCGTACCGATTCAACTGGCCCCCAAAAGATAAAATAAATATGAACACGTTTTGCTTATATTATTACACAAATTTCTCTGATTAGGATTACTATCAATAGTTAATAGCATTTCTAAATCAACATTTTCATCGGTGATTGCAATCATATTTTAAATCAGCCCATAGTATGTATTACATATTGTCAATGACATCCCAAAATAAATTGTGCTCATTTTCTCTTCTGCTAAAAGTAGTTAACTGATTTGAGGAAAGGAAGGACTAAGGATTTTGAGTTATGAGATTAAGCACCAAGCCTATCACTGAAGAGAAAGACTCATTTAAGAGGGAAATTAGAACTATGAAAACATATCACCTACCTTCATACACATGGAAGATTAAATTGTATCCTAAATATTGATCTAAATTAATAGGTTTCCTTTCCTTTGAAACTCCGAAGGAAATAGGTAAAACTAAAATTGTTACCAGAAAGATCAAAACCATCCATGGTTCACCAAGTAGATCTTTTTGAGGACTAAACAGAAATTTTGGGAGCAAAAGTTGTGTAAGAATTCATGAAGAGCAATCCTGACAAGTTATATTGATTATAAAAATTCTGCAGGATCCAAAGATATATGTAGCTAAAGGAGGATAACCATAAAGATACATCTAAATAAAGGGTTCAAGTGTTCTACAAAAAGAAGGTTTAGAAACATCAATAGCCCTCCTTCAAAATAAACCTTAAATACTGATCCCTTTCCCAATACAATATACTAAACACATGATCTTTATGGATCATATTCTATCTAGAGATATATATGTGTCTGCCATCTCTAATAATTAGCAAAGGATTGAGCTTCAACCCATTTGGATATTTTCTTCAACCATGTCTTTCTGTTCCTTGAAAATCTGGTTCTAATTTCTTGACTATTGCCTTCTGCTTCTGCTTTTGCCTCTTGGAAACAACATGTTTGTGATATAATATGATATTAGGCCTTATATCAAAGTCCCGAACAAAATGATCCTTCCTTGCATCTGACACTTGTGGATCTTGAACTAGGAGGTCTTTGATTGCTTCAGGCATAGGTTGGCCATTCATCATATTCTTCCAATAGTCTCCCATGTCTTTTCTTGCATAACTGAGGTTGACAACCTATTTCATAAGAAAGAAAATAGAAAGGGTCATCAACACCATATGATAAAGAGGACTCAAAAGGGATAAAACAAATTTTCATCGAGCTGCTTCATAAAAGCTTACCAAGAGAAGAGAGAAAACAATGAAAAAAGGAATGATGGACTTCATTTCTTTGCTAAGATATGGATTTCTCATTAGATTTGTCAGTTTGAAGGCAGGATCTTCAGTCTCTGACTATCCCTTTTTATAGGCCAGAAGTGCCCCACAATGTGTATGTGCGTGTGTAAAACTGGTATGAAAAAGAAGAGTAAGTAAACTGGCTAAGCTTTCCCATTAAGGAAAAAAGAAAAGAAAAGAAAAAAAAAATCACTGTTAATATATATAAACCACGAAAATTAATGCTGTGCTTTTACAACTTCTAGTCTCACCATGTAGGTTCATTTGAGTTCCAAAAATTTCTAATGACTTTTCCTGTGAATAAGTTGTAAATATTTTATTTTGCAAAGTAATGATGCTTCCGAAGAATGCAAGGTCTGTGAAAACATGTGTATTATTCGCTCTTGAATTTGAGTTGGGCCTATCTCAACCTCAAAAAGCTATCTATATATATTCCATGTGCCATCTTTAATACCCTATTAAATTTGAGTTTTAACTCAATTCCAAAAACTAACTTATATATTAAGGATTGCTTTAGCTTTTATTATTTTTAGTTTAGCCTTATCTGTAACCGGAGTGGGATGTTAACATTAAGCCAACCATGTAGGTTCGGTGGTTTTTTCTCTACCAGTTGCGTATGTTTGCAGATGTCACGGAACTTCTTCACTAGTGTTATATTGTATTTATTCTAATCATTTCAACTCCATTTAAGTTAAACATGTGAGAGACCAAGTGCTGCACTTATTGAGCATTGGTTAACAATTCTCTTCTTTCAGCTGAACAATTGTAAAAGCCATACCAAAATATTTGAATGCACAGAAACAATTATTTTCTCTGTTCTGCCATGCAAAACAATCAACCTCAACACCATTATACACAACAAGTTCTGGCTTGTGCAAACTTCATAACAAATCAACAAAAAAATTTATTACGAATTACATGTAAATATGGTCGTCTAAGAAATAAAGCCAAATTTGTGTTACCAATATTTGGGTTGTCTTTAGAACAGTTATTGACTGTGACCTATAAAAACCAGTTCATTGAAATATTCTAATTTTGACACGTTTTATGTGATTCAGAAAGGTGTGAGTGATATATGATAAGTAAATTTTGCAGTGAAAAGTTCTTGTTTCATCGTAGTTGCAAGTCCACGATTTACTATGGGATACATGCAGTGTATATGTGACCCTTGTATCTAATATTCTTAGTTCATAGATAGAAGCACAAAATATTTAAAGCTAACACTGTCTTTCTCTTGAAGACTCTAGTTAGTTTTAATTCCTTATAAATGAGACAAACCAAGCCTCGCATAAACCTGAATTGGGAAAACATTTTCTGCAGTAATCAAGGGGCATAACATGGGTTGTTATGGTGACATACCAGAAGGCAATTCTGAATATTGGTTCATTATTTATTATTGAAAGGGTTGACACTGTGTCACACACCAAGCATAAAGCTTATATATTCTATTTTGTATAACAAAAAGGTCTAGATGACTAATTTCATGACCACCTACACGTATAAAAAGAAAAAAGGTTCAAGTCAACCTTATCACTATTTTATGTACTCCTAGTAAGTAAATGTTACTAGCAAAAGATGGTCATATTAAAAAACTGTTAGAAGATTTAATCAATGATTTCATGAAAGGTGGAATTCTGTGGGATTAGCCAGAGTATGTGGTAATCAGAGGGTGTATCGGGACCAATAAGATAAAGTTCACAAAAAGACAAGCCCAGATTAAATCTGAGCTAGCCGAAAATGCCCCGTTGGCTTTTTCTTTAAAAAGTCAACTTAATTGTGCATCACTAAAAAAATGATTATGATGCCTATAAAATAATGGAATCAAAATTCAGATGCACTTTATTTTGTTTCCTATAGGTTCATGGGTAGCATGTAATCACTATTTAAGTATAGATTGTCTTCTGTTTTTTTGTGCCCTGTGGGGATGGGTTGTGATCTATCTGGATATGCCAAAGTCAACTTAGTTTCTGCATCAGAATGCCTACTTGTCTTTTTTATAACATATCATTTTTCTTTTCATAAGGAGTTTCAATCAGTTTATATTCTTAATTGATTAATGTGTTACATGGTTGAAGACAAAGCATTCCATTTCTTTTTGCTTTGTTTTTTAATGTTTGCTGTCAACAATGTGATGCTATTTGATCACAACAATTAAATGGTACTTGACTTGAGTATCTAATCAATTTAGAAATAAACCTTCCAAGTTATTTAATTACGACACCAAAAGTTGCGTGAGTCTAATTAAACAATGTTTGTTCAACTCATTGAAAAGTATATGCGGGAAAGGAGAATTAACTTTTGAAGGAAGCTACTGGCTAAGTGCTTTTCTGCATTCAACTAGTTAAAGAAAGTTTAGCCATATCTTCCCATTCCACACACACACCCCAATATTTATATTGGGAAATCAGTGCCTTATTTGGGTAGGCATTAGAGCATCCTTGGTTAGGTTCTAGACCCTAAATTGGGTTGTTGTCATGTGATTTTGATATAATAATGATGTTAAAATTTCAGAGCAATGGGGTACCCCACGATTGTGTACGGTGAAAAAGGAATATGGACTGAAACTTGGAGAAGAAAACTGGATTATCTTTATCAGCACATATTTAAGAAAAGCATAATTATATCGTGTTTGACCCAATTTGGTTTGGCCGTTAACTTGAATAACTTCTACAAGAATTTGGGATATATTAAAAAGACTTTACAGAAAGTTTACGAAAATAGTTTATACTTTTTTTTTTAAAATTATGTCATAAAGTCTCATATAGAATAGTTTATTGAATAAGTTTTTATTTAGACTATTTACCTAAGTGCACTCTTAATTCTTAACTTATAAAAAAAATCTTTATAACTTTATAATTGCTTATAAAAAATAAGATAGCCGAGAGAAATTCCATAAAAGTTGAGATATATTAAATTGATTTTAATTTACGTAAAAGAATAATTCATTTTACTTTATTGATTTATTTGAACTAACTCTTTTCCTTATCCTTGGTGGACTTGGTCCGCAGATGTGACACTAATAGCTTATGGTGCAAATCACTAAATGGGAGAAGCATGGTTGTGAGCTGTCACTATAATTGGTTTCTAACAGCTTAGAAGTTCCATTTGAGATCTTTACTCAAGGTTCAAGCACAGCCTTTAATCAAGGCTTTAGTGGGTTGTTTGGAAACTTTTGGGTGGACTTGTGGGATGAGCTAAGCCTTGAGGTTCATGACAGCTGCTGCAGATTCAACAGTTTTGCCAACACACTCAGTTTCCCACTACATGGGACGCACAAAGAGTCAAAGAAATTTTTATTAAGACACACCATACACCTGATAATTAGTCAAATTGTGAGGGATCTATATGAATCAAGAAAAGTGATATGATCTGTTGCCACTATTCCTTTAGTCAAAATTCAACCAAAGGAATGTGGCTCCTTTTTCTTCTTCTAATTTTTTTTTTCTTTTGATCTTTTTCATGACACTGTGGATATGAGAATGATAGCTAGCTTTTGTAACCAAGTTTGTCCAAGATCCCTTCCCATAATTTTTCCACTCTTTCTTTTGCCTTTATGAATCACTACAGTTTGCACAAGGAAGTGGTGCTAAATAATGATAGCCACAATTAATATCGTAGTATCATGATTTGCAATAGCTTGCTCTAGATGGTCATATACTGAATAATGTATCACACATCCATATGCTGAAGGTTCTGATGTAAAAATTAAAACCAAGAAGAATGTAAAAAAATGTAAAAGAAGATGATAATCATATGAAGACATGACAACATGGTGATAAAGATCATGATGAGTTCCATGAGGATGACGACAAAGATGAAAATAAAGGGATGATAGAAAAAGATGTGCTTGCCCTTAAGCCATTCTAATGCATCACAATCACATGGACCCCTGAATGTGTTTTTCATCCCAAGTATCTGAAGATTATTGTGCCAAGATAGATTGTCCAATCTCTCCAGACTTTCTGTCTAGAGAAGAAGTTGAATATCAAATTCCATTTAATCAAAACAACTATAGGTTATAAAAGTGACTTTGAATATATGGAAGGAGAGACCAATGTCTATGCTACTTCCTTGTAGTCTTTGCTTTATTTTGCATTATCTTGTCCAATTAATTCCAAGTTTTGAAGATTACCCATCTCTCTCTCTGGGAGGGAGCAGTATGCTTTCCACCTCATCATTACTTCGTTGAATAATACTAAAATCTTTTTTTACAAATGCAGGAATATGTCATAGTATTCAGCAATCAGGAGTTCGGATCCTGTGTACATGTGTTAGCTCCATTCCTGCATCCTGCGTTGTAAAACTATACTATTTAGTACACTAAATTATATATTTATATATGTCAACAAAAATTATATAACACCAAATAGTCCACAACTTTATTTCATAGGAGCTGAGCAGAACCAAGTATTGATAGATTAAGATAATCTGTAACAAAATTTTATGTTATACACAACCAATAACGAGGAGTATGTCAGAAAGAAAGAATGTGTTATTTAATTGTCTCCGCTATTTTTTTAATTTTTTGAACAAAACATATCACAATTTAATTGTTACAAAAGTCACAATTTGACATAGGATTCAAAAAGGACAAACAAACAGAGTCTAGTCAGAGTCCTATTTCCAGAATACTCAGAAGGTTTTTCTTAACACAGAGGCTAATAACGTTAAGCTCATGAGGCATTTTCATGGAGGATGAGAGAACTCCTAAACCGGTTAAACAAGACCCATGTTGTTCTTACTGAAAAAAACCCACGCTGTTACTCCTCACATCATTCTTGGCTCAAGTCATTATTGAATCATTCAAAGGGTCCCCTAGGAAAATACTTTGATGCTTATAGTAAAATAGTATAACATATAACTATCCACAGTTAAAGTTCCTTCCAATATTAAAAAATATAACATAAATTCAATCCTAACGACGATACTAAAATATTTTAAATAACTTAAAATTCTCTGAAAAGAAAAATCTTTAAACTCAGTTCAGCCATCAAACAAATGATTAGCTAAAAAGAAAAGATTGCATTAATTATCATTTATATATAACTTGTAAAACTGTTAAAATGTATGAGAATTTTACTACAATTTTCTCCTCCCACTTCATTTCTCTTCTTAAAGAAAATAGTTATGCTGTTTATTTTCCTAGGATGATTATGTAATTGTGTTTTGATTCTTTTTAAGCCTTTTAGCCCTATTTAATAATAATAAAAAAGACACAACAATTATTTTTTATAATTATATTAGACATTTTATTAAGTTAACAAGCCATAAAGTATAAGAAAACAAAAATTTAAGAGAGATAAATTAAGATACATTAGATTATTCTAAGATATAATTAAATATTTTTCATATATCCTAACAAAAAAATAAAATTTAAAATGTGTGTGAATTACACTTTTTTTAAATATTTAGTAGTAGCGATTATCATTGTTGTTGGTGGTTTGATTAAGTTTAAGGAACTTCGAAAAAACATTATAATTTTTTATTGGATCTGTAATTTTAAAATTTTTCTACAAAGTCCTATATAAATATTTTATTTATCAAATAATTTTTTTTTGTTTTTTTATTAAATGGAATAATTAAACATCACAATTTTTTCATTTATATCTTTTAAATACTATAATTTTTTATCATTTATGTTCTTAAAATTATTAAGGAAAGAAAGAGGTAAGAAAATGAACATAAATATATTTTATGAAGAATTCATTAAAAAAAAATGCAAATTATTTATATAAAAGATAGCTATTAAAAAATAAAACATTTTTTTGGCCAGAAATATATTGTCCTTAGATTTCTATGGGTCAATTTTCTTTGTTAATAAGTCGTGCATCGCTTTTTACACCTAGTTTTTAACTAATTGCATCACCCATATATTTTTTTAAAAAAATGATGTTCTAAAAATACCCATATACTTAAAATTTAGAGAAATAAACGGTTTTCATAAACTGAATTTTTTACGTAAGAACACCACCATCCTTTCTACATGTCAACACTCAATATGTGCCGGAGAAATATTTTTAATTTTAATTTTAAATTTCATAATTTAAACACTCCTTGAATTTTAAATTCTATAACGACCAAAATTTGCTTTGTCCGACGAAATTATATTTCAGATTTTAAAATTAATTTCCATAATTTGAAACTAGTTTTCAAATTTTTTTATTACAAGATTTAATTTCCAAATTTATTCTAAAGTTGTGTCCTGAAATCTAATTTTGTACTGATTATTTTTGTATTTTATAATTCTTTTTTTAGTAAATAATTTTTTTGTTATGTTTTTTTTTAATTTAAAATTCTGGGAGTGTTTAAATTATGAAGTTTAAAATAAATCTCCACCCATGTACAGTGTTGATATGTAGAATGGATGGTAGTGTTCATATGCAAAAAATAAAATTCATGAAAACACCTTTTTTTCTAAAATTTAAATATAAGGATATGTTTAGAACATAAATTTACTATAAAAATAGGATCAATTGATATTAAGACACTTATATCGAATCTTAATCGTATAAATTAATCTAACAGTTAAAAAATTATTATTTTTTATATTATTTTTATACTTTTTAGTCTAACTTTTGGACTTATACCTTGTGTCTATAAATTTTATAAAAAATTATTTTTTTACACAGATATAAATTTTAAAATTTTTATACTTAATTTAAGTTTTTTATTTAGTTTATATTTAAGGGATTATAATTTATTATTCTATTAATTTTTAGATATAAATTAAATATAAAATTTTTTAAACTTAGTTAAAAAGAAATAAATTATTTTTTTTTACACGAAGAGGCTGGTGTAAAAAGCAAATCCTGTTAAGTGTAGCCTCGAAACGGGCCATTACACAATTGGCCCAGAAGAACATGAAGATCCAATGGGCTTTGAAGAACTGAGCTATGGAATTTGGTGGGATGAATAAAATGTTGGTGGTCCTCTGCACCATGATTCGGAGTTTCAACTTTCAACAATGGTAGCTCAAGCTTTGTCAGTGCCTGCGAGTGCCAGTTTCACTATCTCTTCACGCAGGAGAAGCCCTTCCCACCTCGTATTTTCTCATAGGTTCGTATTCGTATTAACCAGTGCAAGTTTCATTTTTGTCCAATTGTTTATTCGAACCTAAATTTTGAATTGAAAATTTACCAGAAACCCGTGTTCGAAAGCATCTTCCTTGCCAAACCCATATGGCCATTCATCAAAATTTGGTAACTTTCTAATTTATTAACTCTTTCTTTGGCTGCAGTTCGAAATTTGGTGGTTTTTCTATGCTGTGTTTGTTTAACTGGCTTTGGGTGCATTACTTTCTCTTTGGATGTATTGATCCTAATTTGTCTTGATTCGAGTGAAATTGATGTAGTTTATGATATGTAACTGTCTTGTGTGGTTTAAGATATCTCTAACCAAGAGTTTAATTTTGACCACAAATTAGTACATAACAGTGAGTGACTAAGGTTTTTCACTTGCAGCACAGGTTTCTAAAAAAATCGTACCTTATGATTCATTGACAAATTAAAACTCATTACATTATCAGTGGTTCAAGATTAAACCTAAACAAGTAATTGAATTTTTGTTTGCCAATTACAATAAAGCAACGAGTTATGGATACTAACTACTTTGCATTTGCACAATTAAGCATCTTATGATAAGTATATATTTTTTACCCAGGTTTATCAAGTAAAAGTAGTGGCTTTCCCTTAAAACTTGATGAGAAAAATACTCATGATGCTAGTACAAGGTACGGTTTTTGTTCACCTCCTTCAAGTGCTTCATGTATTATATGGTTGTTTGGTAGGATGCTTAGGAATGCTGAATTTTGACCATTATGCATTGTTCAAGCCTGTCTTGTCTGTGATTCTTTACTGGAAAAGGAAATGTATCCATATTGTGGTGAATTAGGTTATAAAGGAGTGCATTGTGAAACATTACTAATGCAATCAGCAGATAGATGGTGGCATGGAAATAAGCACCGTGATCTATCAATATACAGTTAGTCTTGGCAATTTTCACTCTATCTAAACTGTAGGAGTTTTTTAAAAAAAATATTTTTATATGTATGTATTTTCCTTGAAATGAAAATATTCTTAGGGGGTTTCCTCACTGACATGAATTTGTTGTAGTCTATGCAATTCTTAGTAAATAGTGAATGGAAAAACAATTTATTGATATTTCACTTTACTTGTAGTTATGGTCCAATTGAAGGCAAGAAGGGCAATCCACCACTAACCCCAGCAGTTTTGACTCCCGGAGGACCTCTTGACCTCTCGTCTGTTTTGTTCAGGAATCGTATAATATTCATAGGGCAGCCGGTTAACTCACAAGTGGCTCAGCGAGTTATGTCGCAGCTTGTGACTCTGGCTACTATTGATGAAAATGCAGATATACTGGTTTGTTATGTCTTGACATTATTATTTTACTTTCTTTTAGTCATGAAATGGGATTTATTGAGCTGCTGCTATTGACAGGTATATATAAATTGCCCTGGGGGGAGCACATATTCAGTGTTGGCAATTTATGATTGCATGTCTTGGGTAAGTTTTTGGTCATTCCTTCCAACATACACACATATTTTGAATTCTGTTACACTTCCTTCCTTTGCTAGTTACTTTAATTTATTAATAGTTGTTTAGTTTTCTACCCTGAAAGCATTTGGTGACTCCGATTTCAGATAAAGCCCAAGGTTGGTACTGTATGTTTTGGAGTAGCTGCTAGCCAAGGAGCACTTCTCCTTGCAGGTGGGGAGAAAGGAATGCGCTATGCAATGCCAAATGCTCGTATAATGATACATCAACCACAGAGTGGATGTGGGGTAGGAATCTAACTTCTGAAATTTTGTTGCAAAAGATGCACTTGAGATTTAGAAGCTAAGTAGGGACGAAACATAAAAATTATCCTCTTCCTCCCTCCAATTTACAAACTTTTATAAGACTACAGGACATGAATTTCCTGACTTAAGACTGGATCTGATATGCTAATTTTCCTGTTAAGTAGCCTTTTAATTTTATGTAGCAATGGATCACCTAAAAGTTATATTGGAAGCCTGATCTCTTCCAATATATGTTATGTTCAAAGTCACAACTTCCAAGCTAATTGCAGGACATATTCTGTAATTTGAAATTTGATATATAGATGCATATGAAAATGAAAGTAAGTTATTTTTCAATCTTACACAAGAAGTACTATAAAATAATTTTTATTGATAGGTAGCTGGATCTTTTTTTGGGGTATTATATGAACTTTGGTGAATACTCAATAGACATCATTATTTGATTTCTCTTGATCTGATTGTAGGGTCATGTTGAAGATGTGAAACGCCAAGTGAATGAAGCTGTTCAATCTCGCCATGTTAGTCCTTCTTCCTAAGTTGCACAATTCTAATAATTTCTGGACAACTTTAATGCACCTATGAACTTGATCATGCTGAAAACAGGATTTTTCATTAACTTATAACTGTGGCATTATATTTGTGACAATCACAGAACGGTATTTAAGGTGTTGAGTTTATCAATTCATTATCTTGTACTTCCTCTTGGGATACCTGTTACTGGAAAACTATATCTTATAGTTTGCCTTCTGAAGGAAGAATATTAAATTCCAATTTTCAATGTGTGTGAAACTGGAAACATTTGACATATTCTCTTCGTGCTCATGTTTGCATGGCTTCTTTTTTCCTTTTATAGTTTATTTGACAGTTTTTGGAATGCTTTGCCTAAGACCCTCATTCCTTCTATTTCAAGTACAGAAAATAGACAAGATGTATAGTGCTTTTACTGGACAGCCATTAGAGAAGGTACAACAGTACACAGAGAGGGACCGTTTTCTGTCTGTTGCGGAGGTAACGTGAACTGTTTTTCTTCCATAATAGTGAAATAAGTTTATTCAGTCGAGGTCAAATTTTCATAGAAACCAAAATTGCGGTATTTTCAATAGGAAATGAAATTTAAGAAAAGAAGATTAAGCTGATGGACATCGGACAGGAAATATATGTTTCTTAGTCTAAGAAATTAATGCTTGTGAAAGCCTCATTGTTGCTTGTAATCTGAATATATTAAGGTGGTTAGTTTCAGTGAAGATTGCTATTATGTTCTGATAATTTGATCTCAGTTTTTCTGTAAGCGGTTGATCTTACTGGATAGTTTTTGCCACTGCACTTTCTCTTTGCAGGCCTTGGAATTTGGTCTTATTGATGGTGTCCTGGAAACAGAGTATTGAACACAAGATTATTTGCAGGATATTTTCCTCAAAAGTTGAAAATGTTAATTATTGTCAAACTGATATTGTAGAATTGCATTAATTAATGATAATTTGCACATGTTGAGAGTGGTTTTTTCTTTTTATTGCCTCAACAGTTATGCAATTATTTGGAAGTTGACATTAATATAATGGTTGATCTAGTTTCAATTTACAATTATGGAGTTCAAGTTAGCTTAACCCTGTTAGTGGGCTATGATTTGAGAACCTAAGCATCCACCCTGAACTTACATTTCACATGTTTTAAGAAGTATACTATACTCCTTCCAGTTTCCTTTATTATCTACCAAGGTTTGAGCATAATGTGCAATGCAACTGAAACTGGCTTTACATGTACACATTTGTTTTCATGCTGTAAAATTATGAGAGTTTTTACATGAGATGTAAGTAGAGTATAACTCGAAAAAGAGGGTGAACACTCATTCTTTTATGCTGCTTCAACAGAAGCCTGAAGATATTATGCCTTTACAAGAGTACATCAAAACTATGTTGCATTTCATGAGTTGAGCTAATACTAAAGAGCGGCTAAAATAAGAAAAAAAGGATTAAATATGCTTTGTGTCTATATTTTTACTATTATCTGGTTTTAATTTTTTCAATTATATGTTGTGTTTTTTTTTTCTTTGTCAACGTTTTATTTTCTTTCAATCCTTCAGCATTTGTGTTATATGAAATGGGTTTGTTTGAGTTATTTTTATGGAGCAATAAATAATCTCGATTTAGATGGATTAATGAGATTTGGTTCATAAAAAATTAATATAATTTTGAATATAATGTTTTTAATTTAACTAGTTCACTTATACTTAAGTTATTTATTTTTAATATAATAGTTTCAATTTGTTAATTCTTTAACCACTATTTTTAAGAAATTAGTTTACAAGATTCTTAAGATAATTGCTAAATAAATTTAAAATAAAAGTATGTTGAAATTATAATTATAAAATTATAAGATAATTATATTTAAAAATAATTAAAAAATTTAACAAAAAAATAATTTATTTATACTTTTTACTATTTAGAAGGGCTAAAAGTTCAACAACAATAAGACATTACATAAAAAGTTTAGGAAACACTAGACCACAAGAATCCAAAATAAAAAATTCCCAAAGAAAGGAAAGGAAATCCTTAAATTGGGAAAAAAGAGAAAGAAGGTATAAATCTAATTTGTCGAAGAAGTCAACACACAATTGACCTCTCTACATATATGTAAAAATCTAACAAATTTAATGTCTTTCAAAGCTTCTCTAATTTTACAAATTAAAGCAAATAAAGGATGAGAAGTTGGTTGCATCTTCAGGATGAGAGAGATCACCTTCTTAGAATAAGATCCAATCTAAATAATAAGAAGATTAAGTTGGATTACTATCTAAATACCAAAAAATAGACTCCAAAGTTCACTAGTTAAAGGTAAGCATTAATCAATCTTGTTGTAAACCCTATAATGCACATGTCTTGAGCATTCCTTACTAGACTACCATATATAGCAACTCCACCAACTTTAGAAATAGCCCTATCAATGTTTAACTTAAGGTGATCAGTAGGGAGAGGAATCTATCTAACCTCACCATGACCTATAAATCGAGAAGAAGCCATCTTCCTACAGTATAAAGAATAGAAATCAACATCACACTAGACTTTAACAGCTAAATTAGCATGCTTAGAGGACTAGTTTTGAAAAATGAAATCATTTATGTCCTTCTAGAGTTACCAAATAACAATTCCAAAAATTATATTCCAATTCTTAAATCTACTTAGACTAGTAGAAGAAATATCGTTTAACAATCAAATAAACAACCCAAAATTGGAAAAATTTACCCAATGATCAGAAAAAATAAAATTGCTCTAGACAACTTTGGCATAAAAATGATCCCAAAAAATATGCATCACAGTTTCTTGAGTTGCCCTACACCTATGACATATAGGAGAATATATCTGTCATCTTTCTCTGAACTCTTTCTTCATTTGTGAGTAATTTTTCATGAGCCGTTTTCGAGAGAAGAAAAGCAATTTTGGAAAAGTCATCCCAATTCTAAATAGATTTAAACAAAGTCTGGTCTATCATATCATTCCTTATGTTACAGCTTAGGAATTGGTAAGCAATTTTAATAAAAACAAATTTCATTACTGGTCAAAGACCAATACACAAAATCCTGGAGATCAGAATTAATAGAAAGTTGAATAAGGTTAATGGATTGGCAAGTTTTACCAGAAAGAACAGAACAAGTTTTATTCCAATCCTACTCTCCATTCACAGTGAACATGGCAACAAAGTAGTCCTAATCTGAGTCAAGAATTTGAAAATCAGTATAATCTGAGAGTTTACTAAAACTAGGAATCCATGTATTAGTCCAAAACTTTGTAGACATCCCATCTTTTACAATATAACACAACTTTGGAAAAGTGAGGCCAAACCAAGAGTAGGTTTTTTCATGTGTGAGAAACTTTACTACTTTTTCTAAGATTCATATCACTATCCAGTTTACTGGCCTCACATATCATCAAGTGCGGAAGTTATTAACCTCTACCACAGTTTCATCATATAAAATTTATTGGATATTGAGATTCTTGAAACCTAGTCCTCCTTTATTACGAATATTATTTCATAATTGTACTGGATAAGACACCACTCGGTCTTACTTATAGAAAAAGGAAACTAAGTACTCATTCAGCTTAAATAGCTGAGTACCCTCTCAGTCAGGTTAAAAGGTAATTAACCCAATTAAGGGGTGATAATTCACTACGCCAGAAATTGGCTTTTGGAGCGCCAACTTAGAAAGCGATTAGTAAAAACTGCTTTCTATAAAACACAGAGAGCGGTTCCGCCTGAACTGCTCTTCATATTTAAGTTCTTAGAGCGGTTCCTTTGGAACTGCTCTCTAATATATACTAACGAGAGCGGTTCATATGGAACCGCTCTCTAATATGTACTTCTTAGAGCAGTTCAAATGGAACCGCTCTCGTAATTCTATTTTGGAGAGCGGTTTAAAAATAACTACTCTCTAATCTTGTATTTTTAACTAAAACCCTAATCCCTAATGTGGTTATCCCTGTCGCCCCGTCAAGATTCTGTACTTCAAATTTGTCTGTGTTCAGCGTTTTGTGAGAAAATTTTGCTGAAGAACAAGCACAGTTGACATCGCAGGGTCAATTTTAAGGTATATTCATAATCGTTTCTTTGTTTTCTGGCAATGTTTGGACATTTTCACTCTCTCTCATTCTCTCTGTTCACTGAAATGCAATTGTAATATTGTTGTTGAACAGTCCGTCCTCCATACTTGCTTCAGCTGAACTGCGACTTAGTGGAACTTTGTTCAATCCAGGTTAGTGATGTTGTGTTTGTTTGAACATAAAATTAGTTTTTTATTTTGTAAAAGTTGATCATTGTTGCTTGACAGAGCATGAAATTAAGACATATCAGATAGTTATAATGCAAGTTATAATTGGTCGAAGGAAGTGAAAAACCAAATAGGAAAAAAAAAATCAACTGTGCTTTTATCACAGGATATTAAAATTTTTCAGAAATTATAATTTTTTGCCATTCCAATATAAATAGAAAGAAAGGAACATGCTGTTATATATGTTGTTCTGGGAATTGAAATAAGTTTATGTATTGAACAAGATATTGTTGTTTATTTTGTCCTCGTAATGTATATTTCATCTGTCTATGAATGAAATTGATGTTGTCTTAATGAATGTTATGAATGCATGATTATTGTTAGTGATGAAACTTTGTAGGATATGATTTGAATCTAAAATTGAGTGAAACCATAGTTTCCCGTTTGAGATTGAAAATAATGATTTAATATATCATTATTTTCAATCTCAAATTGTCCAAGTTGGATAGTTTGTGAACAAACTTATTCAGTCATTGGTTAGCATTTGCTTCCCATAATGTTGTATTTAATACTTGAAAAAAATTTGAGTTTGAAACATTTCTCATTGTCTCTTAATGCATGCTTGATTGAGATAAATCATCTCATATTCAAGTTGTGTACTAAGAGACTAATGCGAAATGCTGCTCAAATTTTGTCAAGTAAAAAATACAACATTTAAGTAGCATTTGTTAATTAAGGTTGGAAAAAGTTTGTTCTCAAATGGGATAGGGCCCTACCATGTGAGAGTTAATAAGACATTCACATTTATAATGATTGTAACCATAATTGGAGCAAACATGGATCGAAGTTGGATGGTAGCTGATCGTTTAAGTGAAGAATACGAAGATGGAGTCAAAGAGTTTATGAGATTTGTGATTAAGCATGCAACTGATGTCAACCTTATTCTGTGTCCTTGTTGGTGTTGTTTGAATATGTTACAAGTAAATGTGAAAGAATTGGAAGAACATCTAATGTGCAATGGGATAGATGAAAAATATAATTGTTGGACAAAGCACGGTGAGATACAAGGTGGAAGTACATCAACTAATATGGAATTAAGGGTCAATTATTCATGGACATTTAGAACAAATGACAGTGATCATGTTGAACAAATTTCAAATGTTGTTGAAGAAGATCTTAGAAATTGTTCAAAGATGTTTGAGAGGCTGAAAGATGATGTAGAGACACCATTGTATAATGGATGTACAAAGTTCACAAGATTGAGTTCTGTTTTAAAGATGTATAACTTAAAAGCCTTGAATGGATGGACTGATAAGAGCTTCACAGACTTGCTAAGTTTATTACATGAGATGCTATCGGAGGATAATGTGCTACCAAAGAGAACATATGATGCTAAACAAGTACTTGCTTCAATTAGATTGACCCATGAAAAGATACATGTATGTCCTAATGATTGCATTTTGTTTCGAAATGAGTATGCATTACTAAGGAATTGTCCAAAGTGTAATGTATCATGATACCTAAGGAAAGAATCAACACCTGGGAAGATTGTGTGGTATTTTCCAGTAATACCCAAGTTAAGATGTCTATTTTGCAGTTCAAAAATTGCAAAGCAGATGACTTGACATGCTGAAGGCAGAATTAAAGATGGAAAGCTTAGGCATTCTGCAGATTCTCCACAGTGGAAAAAATTTGATGACGACCATGAAGAGTTTGCAACTGAAGCAAGAAATATACGTTTTGCATTAGCAATTGATGGAATGAATCCCCATGGCATGCAAAGTAGTACCCATAGTACATGGCCTGTGATCTTAATA